GGAATTCAGGGACTTAATTTCTTGAAAAGTCTGTGGCTCTGCATGTCACTGACCACGCGCCTGGGGCTCTCAGGCGCTCCTCGGAGCGCTCGTATTTAGCTAGCCCGGTTTGGGAGTAAGGAAACATGGTCCCTGCAGGCGGTGCGGTTGGGTACTACTTAATTGTAGCATGTGTATGATATGTGTGTGTGTTTCCACCCACCCACACATAACTACATTCTCCAGTCTTATGACAGTGTCAGAGCTGGAAGGCGCATTTGGAAATCTCCACTCCAACCGCATCTCCCTCCATTTTATGGATAAGAACACTGAAGCCCGCCCAGAGAAGTGGTTGTTTAAATTCACTCCCATCATTAATAAGGAAAAGCCTACTCTCATTTCCCACCCAGCTGGGTGCTCTGTGAATTTACTAAGGCAGGAGGCATGGCTTCCACTGTTCTGTTCTTTGAAGGAGGAGCTTGGCTTCAGTTTCTTTGAATCTCAGTTTCTTCATCTTTAAAATGGAGTTTCCTGAGTTGAATACAGCCCTCAGCCCAGCTTCCAGTGAGGTGTGCTAGCTCAGAGTTTCGTGTGTCTTATTCTTACCATAAGATGTAGACTAAGGAGGGACCAAGGCAAAGTATTAGAGTAATCTTGCTCAGACTCCCTGCCAGAACTGTCTTCCACTTGGGGGCCCTGGAAAGGAACTAGACAGACTCATGCAGTGGGCAGATTCAGGGCTGTATGTGATGTGGCTCTTTGAATTGGTGAGCCAAGAGCTAAAGGGTCATGGCACCACTTTGCGACATTTGAGTGAAGTGAGCATTGGGTTTTCCCAAAGTTAAAAAGGCTGCTGTGACTGGTCCCTTGATCTTCTGAGCCTTGCTGTGGCTCAGAGTCTGCAGCAGTGTGGGTGTCTGCAGTGGCGGGAGCAAAACATTTTCCCCCAGCCCAGAAGGAGCCTCCCTTGGGATCCAGGTGATTGCCGGGCCATCTTGTGAGGTAAGGCGTTGAATGCCACGTTCCAGTAGGTGCTCAAAAAATAGCTACCTGTCCACTCCTCCAGGGAATTAAAGATCACATCCCTCTGGGTTCAGAGGGGAAATGAGGAACTGAGGGATTCTTCTCTTTAACTCTAACGACATCCACTCACTGACTGCATGGAGTTGATGCCGGCCCATCGTGACCTATAGGACAGGGTAGAGCTGCCCTGTGAGTTTCCAAGGTGGTTCCTGTTTACAAGAGTAGGACGCCCCATCTTTCTCCTGAGGAGAGGCTGGCAGTTTCAAACTGTTGGCCTTCCAGATCACAACCCAGTACATAACCAGTGCATAACCACTAAGCCACCTGGGCCCCACTGTATCTACTACACACACAGCCCCCCCAAAACCTAAAGCATTAATCTACAGTCAGTGCAACTTCACAAATCGTTCAGCCACAGTTTTCCTGCCATGTTTCCATTCTGCCTTCAGTTTCTGATCGATCTTTGTCAGTGTCACTGACTTGGGCCCCAGCCATGGCTGCCACTTGCAATGAGGTGGTTCTACTGTACCCAGCCACTGCAGTTTGGCCTTCGGGAATTTTTGTCAACATCTGTAGTTTGTCTCCTTCCTCCCCACATTTGAAGTCAATGAATATAATACTTTGTTCCTATGATACTCATGCAATTACCTGTGTACCGAACGCTGTGGTGTCTGTTAAATCTGATGGGTTAGAATTAGATTAGTCTGCAGTGTTAGCACCAGTTCCATTGTCAACTGTTTGCTGAGGACAAATCCAACTCTGCTATATGGGGAGTACCTCTGGGCTGCAAACCTGTTCTTGGCACAGCCACCAAGTTTCTTGAGCAGTAAAGTTGGAAACACTGATTGCTGGCTCCAAGGTGGCCACCAACCGTGCCACTTTGAAGAGCCTGGCAGTAATACTGCATTAAACTCCTGAAAGGACTCCTGACTCCTGAGTTAACACCTTCCAGGGCTCCAGCCCATCATTTTCCAGTGCTAGATTTTGTTTGCCAAACTCACATTTTACAAAGTTGGGTGTTTCAGTTTTGTTGTGCTGAGCATGACTAAACCAGTTCAGATTGGTTCCAGGCCCTGTTTTGTGGCTCCTCCAAGGAGTAGGATCCTGCCTCTTCTGCCACAGGGCAGGTCCTAGAATATCCATGTCTACCAGTTGGATATTATCTCCATTAGGCTCTCTCGACACACACATACACACACACTCCCCAAGCCAAACCAAACTCACTGCCGTCACATCAGTCCCCACTTGTCACAACCCTATAGAACAGAGCAGAACTGCCGCTGTGGGTTGTGGAGACTTCTACACTCTCATCTTTCTCCCATGGAGTAGTTGGTGGGTTCAGACTGTTGACTTTGTGGTTAGCAGCTCAGTGTATAACGCACTACTCTGCCAGAGCATCTTTAAACACATGCACTTATGTACATATATACTATGCTACACATCAATGTATACATATGTTACCCTACCAGAGCATCTTTAAATACATACACTTATGTACATATATACATATGCTATCCAGCAGTGTATACATATGTAATACATACATATACACAATTCTGCGAGGCTGTTGGCCAGACATTTTAAAACTTGCTAGCAGACATTTTAACACTTGATGTTTAGGTATCACAGAAAAGGTGAAGCGTGCCGTATCCCAGTTCTTTTATCTGAATAGTCCGTCAGTGTGCAACTTCTCAGACATCTGCCCAGGTGTCTCTTCTTGACCTCTGATTCTCTTGGCTCATGGGTCACCTGAGAGCATACATTGGCTTTTGTTTTTTCCTTTGGTATGGGGTAAGAGTAGCAAGACCTAGTTACATCCTTATAGAAGGAGCGTTTAGACCCAGTTTCTATGAACTTCTAACCATTTCTGGATTACTCAAATGGTTGTTTTAAAGAGTAAAATGTTGGCATGAGCAGAACACTATAATTAAGATTTCCTGGTCCAAGTTACAAAGTATTTGAAGCTGTTACCTTCCAGTATTCTTCACATGGTCCCCATTGCTTTACCAAACTGTTTATGTAATCTTTAGCTGCTCTAAGAAAAAAATAAATCCAACCCATGGCATAGAGCTGATTCCAGCTCATAGCAGCCCTATGGGACAGAATGTAACTGTTCCGTAGGGTTTTTAAAGCCATGATTCCTTGGTTTTAGGAGTGGACAGCCTCTTTTTTGTCCCATTGAGTGACTGGTGGGTTTGAACAGTTGACCTCGTAATTAGCAATCCAGCATCTGGTTGAACTGACAGTACCACCAGGGCCCTTCTGGCAGTAGTAAGCCCAGAAAAATCCTGAGGCTGATTCCTTAGCTTCTCTGAGGTTGGCCTGGCCCTGACCCGCTTCATTTGCACACCACAAGGGACACTTGCCCTGGGGCCGCTATGATTACTGGCTGTATTGAGAATTGTAGACTCTAAAGGGAGAAATGGTATCAGATGTTCTCAAATTACCAAGTTCTCGATTAAAAATTGCACAATTACTCTGATAGGGACTTCTCCCCCATTGTAGGTGTATTTCTGTAAAATGGGTAGTAAGATTTAAAATACCCTGACAAAAGATTTCCTCTACAAAGTTACATGAATGAATGAAGGCAAAATTCAGCTAGGCCTCTATGTCATGTATTTACAAGGATGTCATGGATGAGAATCATGACAAAAGCCAGTTCGCAGGAGGCAGACATCAGGCATAGCCCACATTCTCATGTTACCACATCATTTCTGACACAGCTACCCACAGCACACACACACTCTTGATCCTAGCCAGCCAAGGTTAGGTCAGCCCTTGGTGACATAGTGGTAGTGAGTTGGGCTGCTAACTTCAAGGTCAGCAGTTCAAAACCACCATTCCGCCCTTGGGAGAATGATGGGGCTTTTCACTTCTGTAAAGACTTATAGTCTTGAGTTCCTGCCGACGTGTTCTTCCGGTGGCGAAGCGGCAGCGAACCCGGTGCCTGGCAAAATGGAGCTCAAGCCCATGAGCAGGTATACCAGCCCGGTGACCTCGGCTGTCTTCCCCCATCTGACCGTGGTGCTCCTGGCCATTGGCATGTTCTTCACCGCCTGGAGATGACCTCCATCAAGTTCCCTCGGGACATCTTCAAAGAGCTCCTCATCCCCCGGGTGGCCTCGCTCTTTATGGGCTCTGGGGTCCTCTTCTTCCTGCTGCTCTGGGTTGGCATCTACGTATGACAACCCCCACCCCCTCGGGGCACCAACCAACACCTTCACTGGATCCCTCCTTTTGTAAATTACACTTTGGGTCTTTTTTCACTCTTTCTGAAAGAGTAGCCCCTGTGCTCACGATAAAGGCAGAGGTGTGACAGTTCAAAAAAAAACAAAAAACACTAGTAGTCTCAGGAAACCCACAGGGGCAGGTCTACCCTGTCCTATAGGGTCACGATGAGTCACCATTGATTTGATAGTGAGGTGTTTTGTTTTTTCGGTTTGGGAGTTCATTAATTCACTGAAGTGACCAACAGGACTCACAGATTATAACAAATTGCAGCTGCCAGTT